CTAAACATTATCACCCCAGATTAGTACTATATATAGCTTCGGTTGTTACGATTATATTGCATAGACTACATATTATCTTCTGCTGCTAAGCGTAATATTCGAAAGGTGTCAAATTCATCGTATACTGTTCATTGACTTATGTTAGTCATATAACTTCACAAACTGGTCCAATTTAATGTGCTAATCAATGCATTGTGGCGATGAACTCAAATTGCATCGCTGAAAACTCCCCGGGATGATACTGTTCTCATACTCTCAACGTATTAATTACTACTTTTGTTCCACTTATGTTATCCGTAACACTTGTCTTTCCTGCCGATCGATTTAAATAGTATTCCAAACAGATAATAACAAACTGATAAGGTTTCATAACGTATAGCTACAGGCTAGACATAGTTTTTATCGATTTCACTCGATACTATCAATACCAATCGTTAACAGATTGGAATTTACACAAGTATAAACAACTATTACTTAAAAGGGACTGACGTGAACGTAAAGCAGAATTGGTTTTGCAACAATTTATGTTACCATCTCGTAAAAAAAACAGCCATAGCCAGCCTTACTTCAAGCTATTTTCCATCCACTGGTCAAAGTTTTAGCCAAATGCTGCGAAACATAATCCTAAAGTGACCATCCATGCGATGGAGACGCAGTTCTAATTTGATTTTAATGAAATTGTAATGACACTTCTCTCATATCATGTTTAATCATACATATACATATTTGTAAATGGTGGTATATTATTACAGTACGACACTGACGTATCAGTCACTAGAAAGGAATTTGCTGAGCTGGATATGGAATTGTTTTTCGATTGCTTTAAATTACGATACAACATATGTCATTATTGCTTCTAGTATTATCAAACATTGTTTTTTACGAGCGTCTTAACCTCAAACACATTCTTCAAACACATCCGAAACACTATTCCATTTTATAATACAGCGTCGTATAGGTTTCGGATTTGATCATAAATGCAGTAATTGTGAATTCCTAACATATGCGAACTTTAAACGTCTTTTTAGCATCGTGTATACCTTTATTGTGTTAACCCCCGTGGCGTTACGGTAGCAAATAGGTAGTCGTGACCTCGTATGCGCCTGTTATTAAAAACACCATATAATGAGTATGTTTGCATGTAATTATCAGAATTAGAAAATAATGTTTATGTTTATAGACAGTAATATTAATATTACGCCCGTTGCTTGGCATATGACATTTTAGCTTGGTCGTTTCCGTTAAAAAGTAGCTTGTTAAGAGCAGCGATAAAAGCGTTCCAATTTGTGGTGCATGATTAAGTGGTTGCCATCAGTAGCCATATGTGAGAACTGTAATAATACATTAAAATATGATTGTAATTATATACCTAATATTATATTTATATGCATTGAGTACATTGGTAGGAGCAATAATTAGTTTGTGAGCAGGTCTCTTATTTACTTTGAATAAAGAAATATAAACAAATGTGCTATTGTGAGTCTACATTTCCCGACAATTGTTTGTGTTTGTCAATCTCAGACAGTTGAGTATATGTCGTACCAACATGACTGGCACATACTGACCCATGTTCATTTCAATATTTGAAATAGTACATTTGTCACCGAGAAGGTATGTAGCATGTGTGCACTAATTAGCTATATATAACATATGATAATATATTCAGAACACGTGATGACCCCTGGGTGACTACTAGTACGTTACAGAGCATTGCAGATACATGTATTACAAGCAGATTGCATGACCTAGTATTCGTTTCTAGGTTAACATTACTTACAAACGACTGACTTTAATTTGATTCCATAATGACCAATCACTTGATTTTAATGAGCGTACATTAGTTTTCTTATTCTGTGTTTCAGAATTGTTTTGGCCAAATATTGAAGATAATTTCTAGATTTTAACATGTGACTACAAATAATAACACCTAAAACCATTAATTGTTTGGTTGGAATGTCGTTTAATGTATATATTTTTGGTGCATCTCTGATTAAAATACAGATGCGTATTTGTATTACCTTATTGATTTGTACGTGTACAGGAGGTAGTCATTACACGGTCGTTGGTTGGCATCAGATATTTAGCTTGATATAGGGATGAATCAGACTTCATTTAATGGCAAGCAATGTGTGCTAGAGCAATGCGTTTACGTGGTTGTATATTGGAACTATTTTATTACTTGATTTCAACGTAACATTTTGACAGATGAGTTTAAATTTAGGTCGATGTGTAGAAAACCATAGGAAGAGTGTAGCTTCATTGGTGTAATAAAAATTATACATAAATTGTTTCCATTCATAGAATTAGTGAAAAAATAAACTGAAAAATAAATACAAAATGTTTGCCAAATTTACAAATCAAAACATTTTACAATAGGATTTGACCATGATCGTCGTAGAATAGTTAGTAACCATATTCTCGAGCAAATTGCAATTGTCAATGAGACAACTCGTGATAATGTTGAGTTGTTTGTGTTTTTTAAGCTAAGCATCATATGATGTTTAATTCTGGAAACGTGAGACACGCTGTTCAGTCAATGTATTCCGATTTAATGAACGCAGTCACGTTTTAAATGAGAGATAGGCAATATGCAGTTGAATGTTTTTTATTACTTACTACGGGTATAATGTGAGATATGTGATGACACACGATGCATTTTACGTTTATGTACTCATCGATACAACCCAAGCCATACAACATGGACATACTACTCTTATAGATAGCCTAAACTAGATAGCCATTTGATAGTCTTTTGTCAGAATCGCAAAGAAGTGATAATAGCATTTTTCATGAGATATTACTGAATTTAGGGGGTCCATCAATGCCCAAAATATATATGTATCTGAAAACGCTCAGGCAACTGGTAATATACAAATTTATTGCGTGCTAATTCAGCGGTAAATTAAGGAAGCCTGATTTTATTTCGAATGCATTAGTCTTACTAAAGTATCAGTTCTTGTGTGAAGTATTATCGCTGTTTGCGTGTTTCTAGAAACAATTATCTTGATGGATACTTTTTTTTATTGGAAACTGTACCATCTGTTCCCGGCAAGCAGGATGGATATCTTTCTAGGATACGAGCCTAGGTTTGGTTTTGAATCAATGTGGGATTCCTGCCTGATGATTGGCCTAGTGCATTCTTCGTATTGCCCCGACCCATCTAAAACTGCCACTTGCCACTTACTAGTTTCCTCAATGGGGAGCACAGTATCCAACAAACCCCAGACGGACAGGCAGTTAGGTGACTTTGACATCCTGAACTACAAGCTTGGCCCAACTATCTCCTTACTGTAGACCAAAACAAATCAGGTAATACTAGATTGAGAAAAATGCTAGCGATGTATCCCCTTTTGGACATCACACATGTCATCACTTGAGTATAGGGTCTTCTATTACATTTTTTTTATTAAATCCTCTCTCCATAGCAATTCGTTGCAGCTAGATTGCTACTAATTATGGTGAGTAATTGAGATATTAACCAGTTTCCTAAGCGCTCTTAGACATATTTGCGGCATTGGCAGTCCCGAGCCATATCTTATGAACATTTCTATTACTAAATATTCACTGTTAGTTAATCTCAGTTTATCTACACTGTAAGTATGTTCACGTTATATTATTAAATATAAAACTTGTTTTAAGATTTGTAAGTATAGATGATTCACCAGTACATCGTTACGTTACAGTGTCGTAAAATTCATACACGCGCCATCAAATGTGTGCACATAATCCCATATTTATTGATGGATAATAGAATAGAGATAGTGACGATTAATTGTCTCGCAAATCAGTAATAGCATTGCCCCCTGGCAAGACATTTCGCAGTCATATTGCGTATATTTTCTCTTCCCGGATTACTAAGGTCCCAATGATATTTAGACTCGTGAAGCTTTGTCGGAAGAAATATCTCTTATTTGTTTTTAAAAAGCTTTTTTTACAATCTAAAATATTCTCAATACCATGGATGGTATTATAAATAATCCTTGTAAATATTTCCCTATGCCCATGAATTAAGGGCTTAAAAACATGTTTTGCCTTGTGCAAAATATATTGATTGTTTGTTATTTATTAAGTTCAAGATCACAGGTTTGTGTGGCAGCAGAAAAACACACTAACTGCCCTTCAATTTAACACGCCTAATTATGTAATACCAGATACATGTTACCGCCGACAGCTTTAATGCGCTGTAATTCACTGACATGGCATGTTAATGGAAAATGTGCAACTACATCATTGTTGTGTTAGAAAGACAATATCAAATTACGATTCATCAGAAGCCATTAGTGTCTCTCTGATTTAAAAAAAAATAATCTGCGTGGAAGGAACACGCCGATTGTCTGTAATTCAAATATGGAAAGAAAGTCCTCGGGCAGAACTGCGGATGTATGATATTTTGCTTTGCGTTTAGTTACACCAATCATCTGTTCATATATTGTCTGTAGTTAACCGAGTATATGAGCATACTATGTAAAATATTAAGTAGAATAGTAGATAAAAAAATTGTTAATCTATTAGATGACAAAGTCCAAAATTAGTCAAGCATGTCATAAACCCACAGTTGTTCAGTCAATGTTCGTAGCTTGGTCCTGTGATAACACTGTCTTCCAAATATCTGTCTGTCACACCTTATATACTGTTTAATTTGAAAGACCGCGAAATAATTAGATATAACAACACATCAACACGATATCCAAATTTACAAGTCCAAGAACACAATTCAAATGACCAACAAACAATCGACTACAAGTGTGATCTCATATCACACGGTGATATAAGACACAGACCCTTAAAACATGATATTATAGGTAACATATGGCAAGACGTGTAATGCTTGTTCGACTTGTGTGACGTGGTTACATCCTTGTTGTTATGGTAGTAACCAAGCTCGTGCTGATCATTTCAGTTACTGTAAAACGCACAGACATGCATGCATATGTTGTAAGAATTGTATATTCGTCCAATCTGTCTTATTTTGTATTTTATATCAGTTTCAGGGGATAATAATGTCTACAATCAACTTGACAGAAATTATAACTACCACTCTTCTTCCAACAACTGCTGCAGTGGAGCATGAAGGATGCAGCAACAATTGGGAGGGACCACAACACGTAATCTATCAACTAGCTAATGTCTGTTTCTTGATATCTAACCTGGCCCCGAACACAATACATGGTATCTTATTCCTACATGGTGTACTAGTGGTGGGATTTCTGTTGTTTAGTGTTTGGACTTTTGTCGTTAAATGCGCCCCTGATGCATTGGGATGGAATTTTGCTTTCATGATCATAAACGCCATACAGGTGGTTCATATATTGTACCGACTAAGGCCAGTTAAGTTCTCCAAGGAACTTGAGGACCTCTTTGTTCGTCTTTTCAAACCTCTACAAGTCCCTAGACGGGTCTTCAAATCGCTGGTGCACATGCAGAACGTTGAGGTTGTGGATCTACCCACTGGACATAGATACGCCACGGAAGGCGACACGACATGTGATCGGCTTTCGATTCTTCTTAACGGAAGGTGGGTGATATACGGTGGAACGGCTCGATTACGCGACCGAATGCACGTACAATTAGAAGCGAAATGTATGAATACTCCTGTGTCTATTGAGTTACGTATGAACTGTACTCTTAAGAATAATTGTATATTAATGAATTCATGATAAAGCAAATTTCCTCCTTTTTAAATAGGAATAATAGTATTACATTAGTCTTTGGGATCCACCTCTAGTTACAGACTCAGCTAATTTACTTGTATGTTTTCGTCCCTGTAGATTAGAAGTGAAGGCCAAGGGCGATTTTCTACACGAAATAAACCATTACCAATTCATTGATTCGGCGACGTGGGAATCCTACAAACAGGGAACTAATGATAAATACCAGGTAAGGGTCAAATGTCATCCGTATTATCTATCAGCATGTAAATGAGTCCTTCGCAACTGATAACATCGGTTACTGCCGGCAAGAAATATGTAACCTTTATGTGATTCACTTATACAACCATGGACAAATGGAAAGTTAGTATGCACTTATTTCGTCAGACGGATTACGCATTATAGCTCTTAGTAGTTCTACTTTATAATTTTAAGGTGTTTCACGTATGGATTAAGTAATGTATTGGTTGGATAATTCGTTCGGGTGTCATGTTTGAATTCATTAACCAGTTTTTGTCTTAAACCTTTCGCCCTCGCGATATCAAGCGAAAAATCTCCCTCGCGAGGTTCCGCCCTCACTATATCAAGCTTTATAGTTTCGCCGCCATTTTGAATTTATTTTGAATTCATTTTTTATACATTGAATGCCACTTTAATTCAATAGGTCACGATTACCGCGGTTGACGATTGTCGTTACATCATGTGGCCTCGTAAAAATCTGGAGCAACTAATGCAAAAGGATGACTATCTCGCGGCGGTTCTGATCACCATGATGGGCAAGGACATTTGCCAGAAACTACACTCTCTGGACGAAAAGATTATGCAACCAGAAAAACCCGCTGGTACGAGAATGGACGTGCGTTTGCCAAGTCTATCCACGTTTGTAGCAACTCATGATGTTCGAAGTCTGAGCTCCTCAAGCAGCATAGGTTTGCCGAGATTACGGAGACTTCGAAGTTCTGACCCTGACGATGACGACTCAGGTGCGTTGTCAGCTGTAAACGAAAGATATTATTTTGTATAAGCACAGTGCAGACACCCCATGCTTCTAGACATTTTCAGAATATATTTTATTTATAGCAAAGACGTATCAAATTGAGACATTTTGCCGTTATTCAACTTATCCAATATATTAAGTTCCATGATAAATAATGACCCTCCTGTTCTGATCAATTATTTTCAATTATATGTATTTTTCAAAAAAAAAAAACAGGGGAGTATATAATAACACGTCTCATGGCTCTGTTACTGTATAATATTATTCCCAATTTTGCATCGTGATTACTAATTAAGTATCAAGTTTGCCTCCTATATTTAATATTATAATTATAATTACACTAACGTATTAAAACCATGTATTGCGAACGAACCTTCCATGCAAATGGAATATCCATATACCACAAACAATAATATAAATCAAATTGTAAATACATCAGCAGAAACGTATGTTTGCTTTGATGTACTAACCAAATCTCGATTACTTACATATCTCGTCCAATTTCAATGAAAACAGATTTTGAATAAAACAATAATTAATGTGGTAATCATCAACAATTACAATATTCATTCATAAAGTAAAGGCGAAATGGTTAATCTTAAAGGAAAGTATAAATATTGTTATTTGTCATTGATAAATGAGTATTATTTTGTTCTGCTTTCAGTTTTCATTGATATGCCGTCTGGAACAAACTCTCCCCGGGCTGTATTATCACCACAATCATCGGAGCAGGCAGCCATACCGGAAGAAGAAAATGAAGGATAGTTATCCTTGACATTGTTTTGTATTACTAAGTATTTTTGTATTACTAAGTGCTATCGTTGTTTCAATTTTCAGTTATGTTACAATTTAGTTCAATACATGTTGTGTCGGTGTGAAACCACTAAATGGTTGGCGTGCCTTATCTGCAAGTCACTGTAGCATATCAGGTCAATTTGTACTACATTTAATTGACGTCATTGTTCTCTACGTGTGTCATGTTCACGTTCAAATCATTATCTCGTGACCTCGAAACTTCACCTGGTTTTTGTTTTTTATAGTATGAAGTGCATTTTGGTAGAAATAAATCAATGGAAAGTCATGTTATGTTCTTGTTTTATTTGAAGATGAAAAATGAAAGAAAACATATAATTGTGTTTTATACCGCATGTTGGATAACTAAAAATAATGCTTTTGCAGAGAACACAGAAGTATTTGTTTATTGAAAAATGGGAATTCCTAATATGCATATGCATTGATTGTTATGGGACTTTAATACATTAAATTAATACATATGCGTTTTAGAAAAATATTCATTGCACGACTACTTAGTTCTTGAAAAAAAATATTTTAATTGATCATGAATCATAATAAAATGTTTTCATCAACATACGACATGTTTTAAGTTGTTGAATCAAATACGTAATAGCATCATTATAATATATCTTTGTTAATAAACAAATGTGTGTCTCATTATTTGATTGAATTATCTCGTGTGTGGGACGATAAAGACGTACAATCAATCTAGTCTCTACTTCAATACCCTGAGGTTAGAGAACACAATAATATAAAGGAAAGCTAGCCAAGAAACGAACAATTTAAAAACGTAATTTAATGCAAGCGACACACTCACTTGCTGCCATATAAATTCAACTCGTTAGTGAACTGAAAATGAAAATGGAATACTAACAAGTGACGCCTCATGTATGGCAAATCCTGATATTGTCTGAGTTCTTCAAAACCGTGCTGTGAAAACGAGCTGTGCTTCTGGGCTACAGTTACAGACTAAATGTCAATATTTTATGAATTATATGTGATTTGTAGTGTTATATATTTCATCACATAAACAAAACTGACATTGCTGTGCTCCAAGGTTTAACTGTCGCTTATATTCCTCAGAAAGCGCCAGAAAATACCCGCATCGTAGTAATTGGCAACGTGAAACTGCTTAATTTGTACGAATATGTGTAATGAACCGAATCATTGCGTGGTAAGATTTTGTAAATTCGACTTCAATTCACTTCGTAGAAGGTTGTTACTTATGGTAAATTCGCACAATAAATTTATATATGGCAAACCAAAAGCTTCGAGTCCACACTAAACATAAAAAAAGATGGGTGGTGTGAATGGGCCATTTTTCGATCACTGCGAGATCTCGCGTCATGCGTGAAATCGATCACAAATACAGGGCGTACAATAATCAAGCGTGTGATTCTAGTAACGCGATAGTATTTTGGGGTATTTCCACGCTTGATAATGGTTTGTTATAATTGAGTAAGGGTATCTCAACGCAATATTCCCTTCTTTAAAGATCAACATTTCGACATTGAGCTATAAAATAAGAAATTTAAATTTAAAATCAAATCGTTTGATCTTTGCGACAGACGTTTGTACAATACGTTTCATGCAATACACTAGATCTCGAAATGAACGGAACATCACCTATTCATTTTGGGGATGAGTTGATAAGGTGTGCCGTTTATGATCAAAAATAGAAAACCATGGAGTTTGCGATTATAATTAGGAATAAAACTTATGTATAAACAGCACGTGACACGAACAACGTTTCAGTGATTTGTTGGAAATACCAAGGAAGTTTATTTGCAAAACTGAGTGAACGAGCCCCTTCTATTCTAAACTATGCCTCAAAAACAAACACCAAACAAACGCACACATTCACAATAACAATATATATTCATTTTATTTCTTAAATTGTTCAGTTGGTCATGGAAGATATTGACTCTGAATTCCCGCTTATAATTTTTTGCGAAGGTTCAGTGTATTTCTTGGCCTTTACACGCCAAGGCAAATTGTCCACACCACGTGAGAGTATGAACACTTTAGTTCCACTCGATTTACCCGATCAATATACCATTATATCCAATATCCAATATGAGCATTTGGTAAACTCAATAGGCTAACCCTCTGGTAGGCCGGAGAAAAAAACGCAAGTATATGTTCTAGCACTTTAAATACTTGGAGAAGAGAGCGTGCTCGAACTAACAAGAACGACTCGTCGAGCCATTTTAACTGTGCAGGTATTGGAGTGTAACGAGAGAGTCAGCTACTGTGTACTGCAGCTAAACTGACATATCAACAGGAGCGCAATGGGAGTGATGTTGCAACTTATGACTCGGATTATGAGTATAATAGGGAGGTGATAGTTGGGCGTGGCTTAGACTAACTCGACCGTGTTCTCAGTGAATAATTTAAATTTTGTTACCAGTAAGGAAACTGTGAGTATTCTTGTGGGGATAAGTCACATGTTGAAGAAGCTCGTTTAGAGGTAAGGACTACAGAGTGACAATAAAGTAAGCAAGACTGGGAAAAACAAATATAGACACGGATGAGGTATGTTAAATTGACTGTTTTTGACGGGAATGCTGAACAGCGTATAGGGTCAGTTACATATTGTCAAGACCTTCAAGAGTACGGAGAGAGTTATGAAAGGTAGTCAATGGATTCTACATCACAGTACCTATACCCCCCCCCCCCATGTTTCGAACAAGGCTATTTAGCCATTGGAGAGTATGTAAAATCACTACAGCATTACCAGTGACAAGCCAGAGGGTGGTAAAATTTACATAAAATAGTTCAGCTTATGGACCAAGAGGTGTTTAGTTTTACAATAGGAGACAGCATGGTATTGCATAAATAGTCAGAAAATGAGATGATAATATTCTTACTTCTTTGAGGCTACTATCCTATATAGTTGATAGGTTGATTCCATTTTTAAGAATTCCATTTTTAAGAATTTATCTATAAAGTTAAGATTTCCGCTAAACAGGAGTGTGCTAACCTGGAATATTGTGATTGGATGGGACCGAATGTGTTTGGCCCACCGTTTAGCAGCTTGCCATTTGGAGGGCCTCAATTGATGTAGCTCCTACCTGTAACATAAGCCAGAATCAGAGATACCAGGGACACAATGGTCAATGACAGGGAGCATTCTCAATATGTAATGTAATGTATTTATTCAAGATACAGAGGCCACCGGCCTATAAGTACAAGTACAATATGTAAATGTATTACAGAACGCTTAATAACTGCTTGTGCTACAATGTACATGGTAACTAGGACAACAACACAGAAAACAAATAAACAGAAACTTACATTACAATAATACTAAAATCTATCTTGTTGAATTACGTTTCTTAGTTGCATATAAAAAAAATTGGCAAGGTTTCTAACAACAGTCACATTAGTGGTGTCCATTAAATAAATTTGACTATTGTGGGGAAAATAAGACATTTCTCTGGGTTATATTTTATTTTCAAGTCATTGGAGAATGGGCAAAACAAACAAAACAAAGTGAAATTCATCCTCAACTTGACAACAAACACACATTATGTCAGCCCTTTCATTATGTAATGGTCTATCAGTTTCAATGGGCAAATTGTGTGCAGCGATACGAAATTTACAAATACAAGTTCTGATTGATCTATTGTCAACAATATTTAGGTATTTTTCTTGACCCAAATTTTAGGTTTAGTTTTTATTTTAGTATGCCACTCTTGAATGTCAATATCCCAAGATCTTTGTTTTAATATTGCAGTACGATTATCAATATTGTTAACACCTTGGATATGCCAAACATGACCAAAGCCATACGAAAAAAAATAATTGTTTCACGTTCCATGCCCAGCATAAACGGACATTATTAGCCTTCGATTTCTCAAACATATAGCACTGATAAGGTAGACGATATGTGGGCATGTCTAAAAGATGAAGCCAATATTTGACAATTCGTACCAGTCTACAGGAGCGTGGGATGTGGCGCCCAATTCACAACGAATAGCAGAATTTGGGTTTGGATACACTTTAAGAACCGAACGACACAACTTATTTTGGATTGCTTCTATGTCATCGCCATTGTGGAAACCGCAAATTTCGTAAATAGAGAACGCAGACCTCACTTCAAGATTGCCAACACGTGCCATGATTTGATTGACGGAAAACAGTGCTTTATTCCCTTTGGTTGCCTGAGTCTGGTACCATTTGCCCGTACTTGAAAAAAAAACAATTCCAAGGTAATTGTAGCTGAGAGCAACTTCTAAATTTTGGCTCTGGGAAAAACATTTTTCCTGTTAGTCTTTCTAAACCCATATTTTCTGTTATGTTAATTTTTCATTTCCACTTTTGGGAATAATTTGATAAAATATTTAATAAGCGTTGTAGATTCATGAGATCACCACCTGGGTTTGCATTGTACTCTTTCTATTGAGTTTATCTAAGTATGACTTTACTTTGGAACATTTCTAATTATTCAAGGTGGAAATTGTTTAGTTGTTTATTTCAAAACTATAGTGATACCATTATGAATTGATGTTCTAAAATTCTAGATATATGGCTCAATTACATTTAAATCATAATAAAAAATGAATAATCATAATCAAAAACATCAGCTTCCGAGATCAAGATCGTAAGTTGTGTTATTTACTAAGTAGTGTGAATACTACATTTGGGTTATATCACATATATATAGATTGAAGACGACAGAATGTCTTGATTACTGAAACGTGTTTGCAAGTCCTACTTCTAAATTTCACTAATAATAACAATAATTTAATACATCAGTAGATTTAAATACATACAAAATACGCATGATGCGACAACTTACAAAGTGCCGTTTTTAACCCCCTTATAGACAGAACGTCAGTAAGAAATAAAATCCTACAAAGTTGTGATTTGTGAATAACTTGTCACATTAAGACTGTTCACTGTTTATCTTATTCTCGCTCCATAGCCCCACCCACCCATAGCCCCAACTACATAGCATCGCGTAGTTTTAACTCCGTTATTTTTAGTAGTGTAGGTTTGGAAAACAATATTGTCAAAGTTGCATTACCACTTTGTATTATATGCAGTACACTTCCCATTAGTAATTGTGATCACCATAACAAGTGATAAAATGAGTTAGTTTGGCCATAAATCATGAAATATTGGAGTACTTAAGCTGGCACTGAAGGTCGTAAATCAAACACAATTTTAATTGTGATAATCACAGTGACTTCAGATTACTTTATTACTTTATCTAAATTCGATTCCAAGATCCTGTCCAATAA